GAATTGCAACTCCTGCTTTTTTTTGCTCTCCATTTGCTTGGTAAATCTTCCTCCATCCCTTTATTTTGAGCCTTTGTGTATCCTTGCATGTGAGATGGGTTTCCTGGATACAGCACACTGATGGGTTTTGGATTTTTATCCAATTTGCCAGTCTGCGTCTTTTGATTGGTGCATTTAGTCCATTTACATTTAGGGTTAATATTGTTATGTGTGAATTTGATACTGCCATTTTGATGCTAAGTGGCTGTTTTGCCTGTTAGTTGTTGTAGAATCTTCATTATGTTGATGCTCTTTAACTTTTAGTGTGATTTTGGAATGGCTGGTACTGGTTGTTCCTTTCTATGTGTAGTGCCTCTTTTAGAAGCTCTTGTAAAGCTGGCCTGGTGGTGACAAAATCTCTGAGTACTTGCTTGTACGCAAAGGATTTTATTTTTCCTTCACTTCTGAAGCTCAGTTTGGCTGGATATGAAATTCTGGGTTGAAAGTTCTTTTCTTTAAGAATGTTGAATATTGGCCCCCACTCTCTTCTGGCTTGTAGTGTTTCTGCTGAGAGATCTGCTGTGAGTCTGATGGGCTTCCCTTTGTGGGTAACTCAACCTTTCTCTCTGGCTGCCCTTAGTATTTTCTCCTTTATTTCAACCTTGTTGAATCTGACGATTATGTGCCTTGGGGTTGCTCTTCTTGTGGAATATCTTTGTGGTGTTCTCTGTATTTCCTGCATTTGAGTGTTGGCCTGTCTTGCTAGGTGGGGGAAGTTTTCCTGGATGATGTCCTGAAGAGTATTTTCCAGCTTGGATTCATTCTCTTCGTCCCCTTCTGGTACACCTATCAAACGTAGATTAGGTCTTTTCACATAGTCCCACATTTCTTGGAGACTTTGTTCATTCCTGTTTGTGCTTTTTTCTCTAATCTTGGTTTCTCGTTTAATTTCATTGAGTTGGTCTTCGACTTCAGATATTCTTTCTTCTGCTTGGTCAATTCGGCTATTGAAACTTGTGCATGCTTCGCAAAGTTCTCGTATTGTGTTTTTCAGCTCCTTTAATTCATTCATATTCCTCTCTAAGGTATCCATTCTTATTATCATTTCCTCATATCTTTTTTTAAGTTCCTTAGTTTCTTTGCATTGATTTAATACATGTTCGTTTAGCTCACAAAAGTTTCTCATTATCCACCTTCTGAAGTCTAATTCCGTCATTTCGTCACAGTCATTCTCCATCCAGCTTTGCTCCCTTGCTGGTGAGGAGTTTTGGTCCTTTCTAGGAGGCGAGGTGTTCTGGTTTCGGGTGTTTTCCTCCTTTTTGCGCTGGTTTCTTCCCATCTTTGTGGGTTTATCCGCTTGTCATCTGTGTAGTTGCTGACTTTTCGATTGGGTCTCTGAGTGGACACCCAGATTGTTGATGATGAAGTATTTCTGTTACTTGGTTTTCCTTCTACCAGCCTAGCCCCTTCGCTGTACGACTGCTGAGGTCCACTCCAGGCCCTGCTTGTCTGGGGTGCACCTCTAGCAGCTGTGGCACAGTGAGGGATGCTACCCGTTTCTTTTTCTGCTATGTTTGTCCCAGGATGATGCCTGCCAAATGTCAGTCTTTTGGATATAGAGGGGTCAGGGAGCTGCTTGAGGAGACAGTCTGTACTTTTTTGGAGCTCAATTGCTGAGCTGTGAGCTCTGTTGTTCATTCAGGGCTGTTAGGCTGCTATGTTTGAATCTGCTGCAACAGAGCTCATTAAAAAAAAAACCCTTTTTTTCTCAAATGCTCTGTGTTGGGGGGTTCGGGCTTTATTTTTCGAATGAGGTGTCCTGCCCAGCTAGAAGGCAGACTAGCCATTGTTTGGCTGCCGAGGCTCCGCCCTGCTGTTGTGTGATTCGCCCTGTTCCTGCAGGCTCTGCCGTGGTCTCTGCCACACCCTGCGGCGGAGTCTCTTCGTTGTAGCGTGTTGCCTTGGCAACGGCAGGCTGCGTCAGCAGTGGGCGTGTATCTCAGTAGGGACGGGTTGCCTCGGCAATGGCTGGCTGCGTCAGCAGTGGGCGTGTATCTCAGTTGGGGCGGGTTTCCTCGGTAGTGGTGGACGCCCCTCCCCCACAGAGCGTCTCAGGCTGGTCCAATATTTCAATTAGTGAGGGCCTTTGAGGAACCAAGCAGAGGAACTCAGCAGACACCTGCAATTATGTTGATGGCACTTTCTGAGAGCCCATGGAAATGCACATGGACCACTTGAAACAAGCAAACACCTAATGTTCTTTGTTTCCTCTCTCAGCTGGGCCCAGGGGCCAAGTGGAGGAAGTGTCTTCATGGCTTTCCTTCAATATAGGGTCAAAAAGAGCAACATAAATGAGCTCTGCCTCTCCCAAGTTTATTTTACATTCTCTCAGAATGGAGTAAAGAAATGGACATCAGGGACCACATTTGTAAAAATTATGTAAGTTCTGTAACTTACCCCAAGCAGTTATTTCTGCTCTTTGTTGGTGTCTACACAGAGATCTGAACAGGAGCCAGAGGAAAGGGCAGATAGACCAGCCTACCGAACTGTCAGGCTGGGAAGAAGTGGGCAGAATACATGCAAGAAGCTTCACAGAGGGGAGAGAAACAAAGCAATGATTTCATGAGGCCTGTGGCCAAGTGGGTAGCAGAGACCCTGAAATCTGGTTGAGTGTAAGAAGATTCCTTGCCAAGCTGAGGGCAGGATTTCTGGAAAGAACCTAAGAAAAGAGCTAATGACCCCTCAGAGCTAAAACTAAGCATCACAAGTAGGCCTGCGGAGGTATGGGAAATGTCTGTTAGTGTTCGACAAGACTGCGTCCCATGATTTCCTGTATTCATGCAACACTCATCCTGTACAGGTGCATGTGGATGTACAATGTGTATGCACTGAGCCAGGTGATGGGAAATCTTGAAGAACAACTTTCTACCAGGAATCTTGCGTAGAATACAGATGAGTACACTGGCAATGGTGATATAGTGTGAGAGACCCCCAAGAGGGCAGGCAGAGGGTGCTCTGGGATTGGAAGGAAGATACCTACCCAAGTCCTTGTTTGAAGGGGCAGTAAGGGAGCTGGGTGGGCTTTGGAAAGCCAGGTGAGCACTAAAGAATGAGCAGGATTCACCCAGGTGAAGCAAGTGAATGGGAGCAAGGTAGCAAAGGGGTCTTTTAGAAGAAAAGAAGCAGCAAGGCTCAAAATCAGGAAGTAAGAGAGCACATGGCATTTCTAGGAACTGCAGGAAACTCAGTCCGGTTTGTGCTCAGAGGGAGAGGTGGGAGGTGGCAAGATGTGGCCCAGCGCCAGCCACTCTCAGACTTAGACTGCATGCCAAAGCCAGGGTACCTTCATTGCTGAGTTTTCCTCCCAAGGGTAGAAATGATCAGGACCTCTTCTTACAGGGCTGTCTAGTGCCACAGCTGCTGATAAAAAAAAAAAAAGATTCTTGCTCCTCAAAAATGCCTGATTCTGCATCCAATCATCTTGGCGGGCAGAACCAAAGGAAGCACTTTGCTCATCTTTTCTTGGCCACAAGATTTTCTTGGTGTCCTAATGTTATTACAATCCTCATAGGCTGAGAAGATGCATTTTGGGCTTCAGAGCATGTCAAAAGTTATATAATTTTTCCAGCTTAATTCTAGCTCAGTGGGCTCAACTTTTATAGCAATTGAGAATTACCTAGAAAGTTTTAAAAGAAATGCTGATGCCTGGGGCACCCTCAGAGATTCTGATTCAATTGTCTGGAGCCAAGCTGGGCACTGGTATTTTTTAAAGCTCCCCAGGTGATCCCCAGGGCAGCCAGGGTTGAGAATCACTGTAGAATATGCAGCCTAGCAACAGAAATTCTTGAGAAAGAAATGAATGCCTCTTGCCAGGTACTCCAGCCGAGTAGATTCTGGGTCAACTTTTCAAATCTCCCTGGCAGATCATCAAAAGCAGCCTGTGGCAACTGCTGAGACCTCTTGGTGCTCCTCCCACTCCCCAACTCCCCACTGTTACAGGTAGATGCAAAGAATTCTGTTCTAAAGCCACTATAGGGGGCTAATAAGGAGGGCTACCTCACCCATGCCTGGCACCTCATGGCATCATCTGGTTCCCTGAGCCACATTGTCTGTGCAGCACTAAGAAGCTTTGTCAAGGAATTTTTTTCTTGCATTTACCCAGAAATTCCAAGCAGGCCTCATTAGCACATTACTCAGACTCAGCCAGTCCCACATATCACCTTCCTCCTCACCCCCACCTCCAGGCTTTTTTTCCTTCACTTGCCCATTTATTCACTGCAGTTGGATTTTGTTTCCTGTGCCCTGGAAAGCACATTTTTGGAATGGAAATTCTGCTGGAAGAACGTGGGTGGCTGTGAGCTCCACGATCCCGGCCAGTCACCCCTCATTGCCCTCCTGGTGAAATCCCATCCATCAGGAGCACAGAGCAACAAGCCCTCTAAATACTTCCCAAGGAGCTGCCCTATGTTGTTCCTTCTGTATGGAGACAGCAAATCGGTAGCTGGAGCTCCCAGGTTGTTTCTTGCAGCAGTTAACAGCTGCCCTAGTGTTAATTCCTGATCGATAGCCTGGAGATGCTGCTGCTCTTACAGCTGTCAGGCTGACAGCCTCTACAGCACATTTTGAAACTAACTTTCCAGTGGTGGGACTCTCTGCTCCTTGGACACACCCAAGGAAGTCCTCATCAAGCTTCAGAAGGGGCACCAAGTGCCCCTCACCCAGTGTAAAGGCCTAGCGGCAGGGTGAACAAGCAGGTGGCTCCACCCCCCTCTTCTGGTCAGGGGATAACTTGGGGAGACAGTGGAACCGAGGGCCCCCACCAGAGTAGCAGCCCCTCAAGATATTCATGAAGCTCTCATTTTTCAATTTTGGTTTGTTTGGAACTTTTTTCTGCTTGAGATGGCTATTATATTTCTTCCATCTAAAACCCTCATTCAAATCCATCTTCTTTTTTTTTTTTTTTTTTTTTTTCTAACTCAAATAGCCAGTTTCTCATTTCTTGCCTGTGTTGCTCCCTCCAGCTCCCTGTGGACAGAATGAGACCCGAGAGGATGGTAAAATAATCCAGCTTCCTCCTTGCAAGACAGGCGCTTGGATCGTGCCAGCCATCATGGCCTGCTACCTCTTAGTGGCAAACATCTTGCTGGTCAACCTCCTCATTGCTGTCTTTAAGTAAGTGGATCCTTCAGAGCACGTGGGATGGACAAGGACAGCAGGGTTGAAGGGGAGTCAATGCTTCAGAAAACAGTGGGTTTTTCTCACTTGATTCTCTTTGGTCTCTATTTTAGCAATACATTTTTTGAAGTAAAATCAATATCCAACCAAGTGTGGAAGTTTCAGAGGTATCAGCTCATCATGACTTTCCATGAAAGGCCAGTTCTGCCCCCACCACTGATCATCTTTAGCCACATGACCATGATATTCCAGCACCTGTGCTGCCGATGGAGGAAACATGAGAGCGACCCGGATGAAAGGGACTACGGCCTGAGTACGCTTCAAGTGACAGCCCAGCCACCACAAATCAGAACTCCCTACCACTTCCTATAGGCAATCATGCAGGAAGGCATGGCCACCTAGGTCCTCCCACCTCCTGCAGACCGTGGACAGCTCTGAAGGCTTGGAGAGGATTGGGGCATAGGGGAGTTGGCTTGAATGAGAAAAAATGTCAGAAAGAAGATGGTAGAGGCTGAAATAGAGCACTCTTTGCCTCAAGTTTTTCTTAGGGAGATACGACCAGTCTCCAGCAGGGCTGTTTTAGCACCTTCATAAGTTCTAAGTGTCTTGCTTTCCAAGAGATCTCAACCAAAAATATATCAACCATATCAATATGCCACCCAAGGCTACAGTATGTACAGTTTAAGCAATAATCTCTGGACCTATAACTTTTTCCAATCTTAAACATTTTCCTAAACCTTAGGGATTGTGTCTAGATTGTCTCATGAAAAGACCAGCCCTACTTTCTGTTACTTGAAGGACAAAACAGAAGACCCTTTACCATCCACCTTCCAGCCCAGTGTTTCTAACAGGAGGTTCTATTAGCATGGAGGTGGAACAATTCCTTGTTGTGTAGGATCATGCCACACATTACAGGAGGTTTGACACATCCAGCCTCGACACACTGAATGCTAGTAACTTCCACAGGTTCCCAAATACCCCTTGGGTCCCACGCTCCATTAAGAACCACTGGGAATCCAGCCCCATACCAACAAGCTCCTATGGTTTCTCAAAGTGTGTCAAACAGGCCATCTACATCAAATCTACTGAACAAGTGCCTCTGGGAGTATAGCCCAGGAGTCTACCTCCCTCTGTGGGGTCACCAGTATACCGAAGGTTTGAAACCAAAATGATATGGTCAACAGCTTCTCTGAAGCTCTTAACATCCTCCGTGACCTTGCAATGCCCAACTTCTTTTTAGACATCAACATTAGAGAGAGCTGGGAATTCCAGAATTCACTGTATTCATCTGAAACACAAATTTAACCAAACAGAAAAGTTGGAGAGGTCAGGGTGGATGACCTATGAAATAAACCCTAAGCTTCTCGACTCAGGAACACTAGCCAATGTAAAGGAGCATGGGGTACAAAATCAGGGACAGCAGGATGCTCTAATGAATGATGGCCTACAGTGAATAACATGCTGAGGGCTAGCTCAGGGTCCCAAAATAATTTACAATAAAGCATGACTCATTTGTGGTAGAAGAGGAACCTCACTTATCCAGGGAAGGTAGGAAGGGGGTGTCTGTAAGTACAATGCAGGAAGTAGGACAGTCCGGAGATCCAACTTCTGTTCCAGTGCCCACACCCTTGCAGAAGTCCAGAGAACTGCACAAGCCAGTTGCTGGGTTAGATGAGAGCCAGATCCATACAGCTGCTGTGCATGGTTTTTTTGTCATTATCATCAATGAGAGCAATAAAAGCATTGCCAGGTCACCAGATGCTCAGAAGAAAGGAACAGCCATGTCCGCTTTCTCAGAGAAGAAAGATGTTAGTGCTGTGGCTGGGTCAGAAAGGATGAAGGTCAGGACCAACGGCCCTGCCTTGTACACATCAGTCGGGGAAACTGAACTTTTCACTATCTATCTGTAGCCTTAATTAAAAGAACCCAGGGCACTGCCAAGTTCTGGCAGAGCCTCAGACACAAAAACACTCTGAAATGTAAAATTGAATTTTTAAAAAATAGTATTTTATTTTTGCTAAAAAGGCATTACATATAGCCAAAGAAGTTAAATGAAGTGCCAGCAGAATAAGTGTTAAATATACTCCTTGGAGTCTCAAATATAGCAATAGCAATAGCAGCAAGAGCAATCATCTGTGATTTGACGGCCTCTCTAAACTGCCTCTTTTCATTCCCCTCCTTCCAGACTAAAATGCTCTGAATTTCATGAGTGAATCTCAAGTGTCTCCTGTGATACAGGTCTTTCTCACCTTAGGAAGCCTCCCATATTTGACAAAAGTAGTCTGATTTCTGGTATTTTCTTTTCTCTCACCTGCTTTTACATTCATACTTTCCATGCCCCAGGCAAATCCAGACTAATGTCTCAAAGCAAGCAAGAGCCACCTCAGCAAACTAAATCTCCGAGGTCTAAAATCCCGGGCTCCAAATGTTTGGGACAATCCCTATTGCATCTCAAAGGCATGGGATTAGAAGAGGGACTTGTCCCATTTATGCAGTTGGCAAAGCAGTTCCCTTACCTCAACCCTGATTCATAAATCAATTAAAGGTTCAACTTTCCACTGGGCTCTATCGACTGCTGTATCGGTTATGAATCCCTTTACCTCTTATTAACATAAACCAGGCTAAAAATAACACAAATAAATAAGGCTTCATTTTTTTCACATAACAAAAGTCAAGAGCCCAGAGCTCAACTACAGCTCACTGAAGTCAAAGATCCAGAGGCCTCCTATTTTTAGGCTCAGTTTTTCCTTCTGTGCTCTCTTGTCTCATGGCCACAAAATAGCTGCCTCACCTCCAGTCATCACATTCATGTTCCAGGCAGGAAAAAAAGGAGAAGGTGAAAAACTACAGAAAGAAGCAACCACATCTCTATATTTTATCAGGAAAGTAAAATCTCTTCCCAAGACACCACCCCTCCCTCCAGCAGACTTCTTTTGTTTCCTGGCCCAAACTGGGTCCTCGTGGTTGCTGCTAGCTTCAAGGGAAACTAGAAATGTTTGTGTTTGGCTTTCTCAGCTCAGTAGAAGGAAAGGAAAAAAGGAGAAGGAGGTTGCAAAAGGGCTTTTAGTAAGGCCAATCAATATGTCTCTCTGCCGTACCCCCGGCCCAAAAGCTTTTGAGCTTTTAAGATACCTCTATGCTTTGAATAGCTTCTGTTCCTTGATTTAGCTTTTTCCCTGGCCTCATGACTTGCCTAATTCTACCCAGCTCCTGCAGTAAACCAGTTATTCTCAGGTAAACTTCAGAGACCCATAATAAATCTCATGTTCGGAAAGAACATGGTGATGGAAGTTGCCTAATTGGATTTGGATTTCATTTGAGACTTAGCAAGGAATCCAGGCCCCCTTTCCCCACTGGATTTATACTGGGACTGTCACTAGGCTCACAAAACAGATGCCATTGCTTTTACTTCTCTCCCTCATGGCTCTCTTTTTTTTTTTTTTTTTTTTTTTTCCACAGAACTCTTCATAACTGATGACGAGCTCAAGAAAGTACATGACTTTGAAGAGCAGTGCATAGAAGAATACTTCAGAGAAAAGGATGATCGGTTCAATTCATCCAATGATGAGAGGATACGGGTGACTTCGGAAAGGTGTGTTTCATGGGCACATGCCTCCAGCAGATGTGCTGTGCCAAGGCATGCTTTATCCATTGAGTTTATTCACACAGTCACAAAACAGAGACCTTTTGTATCTGTTTTTATTGTCTGAGAAATCATGGAACTTATGAGAGAACAGAACCTTTCCTAAAGTGTCTACAGATCAAAATCCCAGACTTACAGATCCTACACTTCTCCAGCAGGCAGTAGCAGCTGTCCTCCCAGACAGAAGAGAATTTTGAGTACAGGACAGCCTGAGGTTGCTGGCTCAGACCAGAAATTGGAAAGTTCTGACCCAGATGAAACCCAAGTGAGACTCAACCCAATTCTAGGCTCCCCAGCAGTTTATATTTTGTGCAGGCTATTGAATGTCTCTTCCACAGAAGTTGAACAGCCCTGGCTTACATGGGTGCCCAACACCTTCTGAATAAATGACACTAAGAGAGTTGTAAATTAGCTAAAATAATAATTAGGATTTTCCCCCAGGATTTTTTTTTCTTTTTATAGAACAAGATAAAAGCAAAAAATAAAATTAAATCAGATTTTTCTACCCAGTGGTTATATACGTTTGGATCTCATTGGTAGCCAGAAAGACTATAAGAAAAATCTTCCATCTGAAGGATTCGCTTCAGAGTATTGTTTTTTAAAGAGAGAGAAAGAGACGGAAATCTTCAAATAAATAGAAGAGAATTTTTTAAACCTAATAAGTCTAGCTTTATGAAAATACCCTTATATCTTCTTATTTTTCTTATTTTGCTGTAGTCTAATAAAACATTCATTCCAGGCTGGCACATTCAGAACCTAGCATTTGGGAATCACTGTTCTGAAGAACACCCAGAATATTATAAAACATTGGTGTTACTTTAAATTTTAAGCATTTGCAATATAAAGATGGCAGAAGCAAATTAGAAATAGTGTAGAAAGGCATAACATATTGATGACTTTAGTCAGTATGACTCAGGCTTCTAAGATTCAAGGCAGTCACCTTCAGTTTTCATGAAATGACATTTTGTCTGCTCATCCACTTCAGACTTCTCTAGTGGCTCTGTAGAAATTACATAAATAAAATATTCTGACCCTGGCCTTTTATTTCTTTAAAGAATTCTGTCTCGATAAGTAGGTATATACCCATATGACATTGTATCCATCAGTACTCAGCCAATACTAATAAAGTTTAAAGCAATGCACAGATTTTATACACATCTGTTGCTGCAAAATAGACCATTTTATGATGATATAATGTAAAGTAATTTTCTGGCAAACAGAAGAAGGAACTAAAAGTCTGAAGATATTTCTTATTCTGAGGCCTTGAGAAAGCTATATATTAATGAACATATAAGCACGTAGTTCCCCGGAAACTACGTTACATGGACACATTACCCATTGTTCAGACATGTTTCCAAGGCATTTTTCTACAGGCCTTTGAAATGCTTTTTAAATTCAGTAAAGCCATAGACCTGGTGGGAAAGAGAGTTAGGGAAAAAAAGAGTGTTAAGATGCAAGGAAAACTTTACCTCCTGAGGAACTAGAACCAGGCGGTGCAGCACCAGCACATATGAATAAATTGTGACCGTTTCACTAATTCTTTCTGACAACAAACAGAAACTATTGTACATCTACTTGAGCCTCTGGCCCCATGCCTGCAAACCCTTTAAGAATACTCCTTTCCCAAGGCCCTGTTCCTTTCTGGGTAATTACAGAGCTCCATCCTCAAAGAGGATGGCCAAGGTGAACAACTTCCAGAAGTCCAGGACAGAATGTAGACCCACCCTCCCTATGTCCTAGTCATTAAATTGACCTTCTGGAGTAACGAGGGCCTGAAGGACCAAGATGACCTCATGACCAAGCCCAGATGCCAGAGATGAATGAAACCTAAGCCAGGCTTCATTCTGCTGCTTCTGGCGTGGGTGGGTATGTGTGTGTGTATGTGTGTGTGTGTGTGTGTGTGTGTGTGTGTGTTGGAGTTTTAATGCTATTGTCACTGTTGGTTTTTTTTTTTTTTGCATTTGTAAGTGAACCAAAAGATAACATCTCTCAACACTGAAATTGCTCTCAGCACAACAGACACACATTAGGGTGCACAAGGGAACAGAGATTAACCAAGGGAAGAGTAGATCCATATTACCAGTCTCAAACATCTTCTAGGATGTGTCCTGAGTGTAGTGGCAGGTGAAATCACCTGTCCTATTTACATCTGATTGAGCGAGAGAGAGAAAGATATGGATATGGATATGTATGTATAAACGCACATTTGGAAAGGTACATATGGTTAGTTTACCTAAATTAGCTGTGCATAGTCTATATAGTATGTAGAATAGTATATAGTTTTACCTTCCCATTACATAACCCCAATAACAGGGATTTGAAATCAACATTAAGAGCTCGCTCTTTGTCCTGCTAAAAGACTTAGGAAAAGGAGTTTCTTTACAGAGTAAGCTTCATACTCCTCCTCCTGCCACTGCCCTGATAACACAAGTAATTTATACAGATTGTATTTGGGTGAGTCTTCTTAGAAATACAAAGATACCTGCATAATGATCCATTTAAATGGATCATTATTCAGCCACACTTTTGCAGCACAGTGGTATAAAAAGAGCTAAATACAAATTCAGGAGATCATTAACACCTCATGGGAACTTGATTCTGAAAAATCTTTGTCTTTCCCCTTTTTTATATAGTAATGACTGTGATGCATCTAGAGAAATTCTAGAATATAATGAGCTAGTGGAATAACCAACGCCCTCTGCTTTATTTGGGATAATGTCTAACTAATGATAATTATACTCAAATAACCAAGCTTTTCATCTATTAAGCAACACTGATGACTGGCTTTTTTTTTTTTTTTTTTTTTTTTTTGATGAGGAGCTTTGGACTCTTGGCTGAAGATAACCAATACTTGATGACTGTTTCATCCAATTCTGTGCTCACTATCTTTTTATGAGTTCAGTTCTGTTTCAATATGTGAATACCAGGCTTTCACCATTGCCAGGCAGTAAGCCACACGCTAAGGACCCACAAGGCAGGCTTCAGTCCTCAGGAAGCATGCAGCCTCATTGAGATCTTGTGTGCATACCAGCAGGGATGACCAGAAGCATCCAAACCAGTGGTTCTCAATCTCCAGCAGTCTCAAAATCATCTGGAGGGCCTGCTACAACACAGGTTGCTGGGTACCCCCTTCCCACCCCTAGAGTTTCTGATTCACTTGGTCTGGGGTAAAGCCCGAAAATTACACTGTTTTTTTCTTTGAGATGGAGTCTTGCTCTGTCACCAGGCTGGAGTGCAGGGGCACAATCTCGGCTCACTGCAACTTCTGCCTCCTGGGTTCAAGTGATTCTCCTGCCTCAGCCTCCCAGGTAGCTGGGACTACAGGTGCCCACCACCATGCCCAGCTAATTTTTGTATGTTAGGTAGAGACGGGGTTTCACCATGTTGGCCAGGATGCTCTCAGTCTCTTGACCTCGTGATCCATCTGCCTCACCCTCCCAAAGTGCTGGGATTACAGGCGTGAGCCACCACACCTGGCCCAAAAATTGCACTTCTAGCAAGTGTCCAGGTGATGCTGATGTAATGTTAACCCTGCTTGTCTGGAAACCACACTTTAAGAACCACTGATGGAAACCAATGGACAGCTAAAGTCCAAACTTGGGACAGGATGGTGAATTATTCACTGTATATCATATAAAATCCTGGCATCTTACATTTGGAAAATGTTCTGGAGGTCACTGAGGACAGACTGCTTGTACCCAAAGCAGTTGTTTCCTCCACACACCTGACCAATGGCAACTTAACAAACATGTTCTGAGCAACTGACCCAAGCAAGGCCTGAGTAGGATGAGAGGATACAGGGAGTCTACTTTGAAATAATGCGCTGTCTCGTTACACCCAACCTTGATTTGAATACCTCCTGGAAAAGAGGAAAAACTGGCTATGCTACCAGTTTTAGAAGTGAATACAGGAAAAGACTTTTCTCTCTGAAAATTAAGGCCAGGCACGGTGGCTCACACCTGTAACCCCAGCACTTTGAGAGGCTGATGTAGGCAGATCACCTGAGTTCAGGAGTTCAAGACCAGCCTGGCCAACATGGTGAAACCCCATCTCTACTAAAAATACACAAATTAGCCGGGCATGGTGGTGGGCGCCTGTAATCCCAGCTACTTGGGGGGCTGAGGCAGGAGAATCACTTGAACAGAGATGGGGCCACTACACTCCAGCCTGGCCAACTGAGTGAGACCCTGCCTAAAATAAAGAAAGAAAGAAAATTAAAATTCTTTGCTCTCTGAAATAATATTTTACATATGTGAAGATCATTGTCATCTCCCCAATGTGCTGTGTCTTTTCCAAACTAGATATCCCATGATTATTTAATTGCTTATCCTACTTTCCAGCAGATCATCCACTACCCTGCTCACTTTCTCAGTATGCACTTCAAATTGTCAACATTCTTTAAATGTGGTGCCTAAGTTAAACTCAATTCCCTATGTTGTAGTCAGAGCCTAAATTTAATTCCTCTATCCATTCATTTACTTTTTTTGAACACCTACTATGTACTGGACTAGTACATATAGAGTAGGACAAGGAATTATCTTCATGGTATAATGGAAAGAACACAGTATAATGTGCATAGTATAGTATAACACAATTTTAATACTAATTCTGCAGAAACTAGCTGTATGACCTTGAGCAACTTACTCAACTCCTCTTAACCTATGTCCCCATTCATAAAATGGAGTATTAAGACCTAACTAGAGAGTATTAAAAGTTATTGAGATACATATATATGAGGTATTATGCTTTCAATAAATGGTGATTATTATTTTTTGACCTACACAGTAGGTGTGCTATACAATGATATTACTATTCTTAGAGACCAAGTCACATCTTTGGTTCAAAGTACACTTTCAATGAATTAAACCAGGGCTTTTTTACATGAGCTGATTCAATATCCTCAAACTTCTTCTTGTAAAATATTTGTTTTAACCTGGAATCCAGATTTA